GACAGTTTCTTTGCTTAACAGATAAAATTAGCTGAGTTCAGATTAATTTTGTGTGAACACTTGCAGGTATTTGAACAAAAAAAACGTGTTCCTGAGCTAGTTCTTGGGTAGGCTTTATCATCTCCTCTATCTCTGCTGCTAAACTCATTTTGCAACTCCAGTAGCAGTGTTGGGGCTCATGGATTTACTTCTCCAGTATTTGGTTTATCAATGGGAAACTTGCCATTTTTTTCCTCATTGTTTCACAGCTCACAGAATGAATGTGTGAGATATGCCTTCTAACAGGTGTAGCATGAATCCCTCCTCCCAAAAGATGCTAGATGCTGCTTTTTCTTGCAGAGGGGGCAGTTGTTAACTTTTTTTTTGGCTTCGTTCTGATGTAGAAGAATATTGCTGGTTATGAATGCAGCAGTAACACAATGCTACTTAAGGCATCCGATTTGTAGTTTAACTGCAGTTTTGTTTTCTTAAGAAACCATTAAAGCAGCATGACTTGATTTCTAGCATGAGCATGGACTTGCAGTTCATGTCCTCCTGAATAAACATTGCAGTTATTACAGGTCAGCACCTTGCGGTGATGTTTGCAGATGATTCTACTGCATTGAGGAACTTGAGGAAAGTCATGAAATGACTTCTGGAGGAAAGCCCATCTCTTACAAAGCAGTCCCGTGCTGATGATTCCTCCTATACCTCAGATGGGGCAGAAACTTCAGATCTGGCATGTTAGCTTTGTCTCTCTAAGGCGAGACTGACAGGACTGGAGGAAAACTAAGTGAGAGAGTCCCATTGAGTGAGGGATACGTGGAGGCTTCTGGAATTCTGATGTCAGTTCTTGCTGTGGCTTTATCTCCTGTGCAGCATTTCCAGCTCGGGCTTGGCTGGGGCTCACCCTTCCCAGTTAACACGAATAACATACATCTCTACTTAATGGAATATTTACCAAGTTGTTGTTCTAGGAATACTTATAGTCTCTGCTTAGTGACCCGTTTGTACTCCTCCTGTAGAACAGTTGCTGGCTAAGTCTGAGTCAGTGATTTCAGCGCGCAGTAACAACAGCTGATAGCAGTAGCACCCCATAGGGTGCTTTTGCATGAAGTTCACTTTGTAAACAAGAGAAATCTCAACTAACCTGCTGCGGTTGGTCTGCTATCACCTCTGTCTGTCTTAGACGATGGCGTTACACCCGCGCAGAGTGCGCCTGAAGCCATGGTTGGTGGCCCAGGTGGACAGTGGGATGTACCCCGGCCTCATCTGGCTGAACCGAGAAGCCAAGCGGTTCCAGATCCCCTGGAAGCACGCAACCCGGCACAGCCCGCAGCACGAGGAGGAGAACACCATCTTCAAGGTGAGGGAGGGAGAAGCTCGGTTACACAAAGGGCTGAATTGTTGTCCCCAGAGCTCTACAGGCGTTTCAGTAACAGTTTCCAGGTGTGTTTTGTTCTCTTTCTTGGCTCTTTGAAATGCCACTCTGTGCACCTGGATGCCAAGCTTGGCACTGCCCTGGAGAGGTGTACAGTTCTTTAACTCTTTCAGACCACGACAGGCTGGTGATGTGTGGTTGCATGGTCAGTAGATGACTGATGCTCTGATGTTGGGGCTGCTCCACTCCGCTGTAACCAAATCCATCTCCAGCACAGGAGATGCTTCCAGAACTGGTTTCTGGTATCACAGCTGAGACACCCGGAGAGACTCAGTGCACAATCCTGTGTGGTTGGTACTTAACTTGTACATTCAAAGCATGCATCTTCATACATTTATTTTCATCTTCTCCATTTAATGGGAAAAGCTATAAGAAGGGAATGTCTGCTGTTGTTATCAGAAGAGCTGTGGTTAAGGCTTCTTCAAGAGAGGATTTTTACACTAAGTTTGTTTTTAAGCTTTATTTCTGATAGAATTGGCTCTGTTGCGAGGGATGGACTGAGCACGGTGCTGTACTTTGTCCCCAGGCATGGGCTGTGGAAACAGGAAAGTACCAGGAAGGAGTCGACGAGCCAGACCCTGCAAAATGGAAAGCCCAGCTCCGATGTGCTCTTAACAAAAGCCGGGAGTTTAATTTGATGTATGATGGCACCAAGGAGGTGCCCATGAATCCTGTGAAAATTTATGAAGTATGCGATATCCCGCAGTCCCAGGGATCAATCATTAATCCAGGTGAGGGCCTCGTTGGTACAGAGCTGGTTACTGAGCAGGCGTTTGTCCAATGCGTGCACCTTTCCCTGTGTGGCATTAACTCCCGAGCTGCCTTTGTGTGCAGTGCCTGGCAGCTGCTGTAAGCCCAGCTGCACCTAAAGAGGACTTTGAGCCATAGTATGCCTGTACTAAAATTAATACATCTTCACACAGTAGCATGCTTTCTGCTAAAAATCCAATGTTATTGATAGTTTCTGTACCCTCAGCTTTCTAACAGCAGGTATTAAGCTGAAAATGTTGTATAGATGAGATTTATTTCTGATTATAAGTTTAAAAAAAAGAAAACTTTTGATATTGTGCAAAGCCAATATGAAAACTACATCTTTTTTTTTTTTCCCAAGAAATGCACTGCAGTGTTTCATACCAATTGTCTGCCCACTTTGTGCTTGTTTGCAGGTTCCACTGGCTCAGCTCCATGGGATGAGAAGGAAAATGATCTTGATGAGGATGAAGAGGAAGAACTGAATCCATCTCAGCATGTCCCTATTCAAGAGACGTTTCCATTTCTTAATATCAATGGTTGGTACAATAGTTTGTAATGTAATAGTGAAGTTATTTGCTTGTATATTGGTGTGTGCTTGAAATTAAGACTTGGCTTAGGAAAGAGTCAATTCCCTTCTGTAGATTCTCCGATGGCTCCAGCCAGCGCAGAGAACTGCAGCCCTGAAGCTGTGTGGCCAAAGAATGAACCTCTGGATATGGAGATGCCCCCGACTGCTTTGCAGCATGACTTCTTCAGCAGCCCGGAGCTCTGGATCAGCTCTCTTCCAAGTACGTTCATGGGTTTGTAGTGTTTCTGTCATTGTACTTAAAAAGTCAAAACCATTTTTAATCCTTTTTGCTTGTTAGCTGAAACTATCTGTGTATAGCTAAAACATCCCTGCAAGCCTAGCTTGTATTGCATGATATGTCTTTACTGCTGATGTATGTGCAGAGGTCCGGGAAAAGTCCTTACTGACAGTTTCTCTCAGTGACAGACCTAGAAATCAAGTTCGAATATCGAGGAAAGGAGACTGGGCAGACGACAACTGTGAGCAACCCACAGGGATGCAGACTGTTCTATGGAGAGCTGGGTCCTATGCCAGACCAGGAAGAGCTCTTTGGGCCAATTAATTTGGAGCAAGTAAGGTTTCCAGGAACAGAGCAAATCACCAATGAAAAGCAAAAGATCTTCACCAGTCGGCTGCTGGATGTTATGGACAGGGGACTGATCCTGGAGGTCAGTGGCCATGCCATCTACGCTGTGCGGCTCTGCCAGTGCAAGGTGTACTGGTCCGGTCCCTGTGCACCTTCTGCCACTACACCAAATTTGATTGAGAGGCAAAAGAAAGTCAAACTCTTCTGTTTGGAAACGTTCCTAAGTGGTAGGTAGCTTCTGCTTCTGGAAGATAACTTTAGATCCTGGTGACATTATTGGAGAGGTGGTCTGTCCTGGGGGTTGGTTTGGATGTGCATGGAGCATGAGTAGTTGTCCTTGCTTCCTCTGACCTCAATGGACTGTGGAGTGGCTGGGCGCTCATTTAATGCTCTGAGAGCTGCTGGTGGGTTTGTTTTTAAAGAAAGCTTTTCTGTATTCAAGAAACAGGCTGTAATTGTGGATATGTAAGAAGCAGCTCTGGCAAGGGACATGGCATAGTTGAGACCTGACACAATGTGGGTGGGACATGGTAAGCGTTTCTATCCAAAAAGTGGACAAACCTACAGCATTCTCCTTTTCTTCTTAGAGCTGATTGCCCATCAGAAAGGACAAATTGAGAAACAGCCACCGTTTGAGATCTATTTCTGTTTTGGGGAAGAGTGGCCTGATGGAAAACCTCGGGAGAGAAAGCTGATTGTGGTTCAGGTAGGAACAAAGGCCTTGGAGTGACATGTGATAGCCCCGCTGGGGCAGTGCTCTGGCTCTAGATTGATACCTGCAGGAACCAGAGAAATGTTGTTCTCTGCTGTGACCACTGGCGGGGGAAAATCCCAATAGGGCTGCTGGATTTTTGTCACAGCATATGCAGGTGCTCTGTTTGCCAAATAGCATTGAGCTGTAAGTGTGCTTTAGGTGTCTGTGGAAACTATCCTGCAGGGAACCTTCTCTGGCAAGGAGTCCTTGCCAAGGAACAGAAATGTACTGTGTAGTGGCTAGGCTGAAATGATGGATTTCTTCAACAGGTCATCCCTGTTGTGGCCCGGATGATATACGAGATGTTTTCCGGTGACTTCACGCGCTCCTTTGACAGCGGCAGTGTGCGGCTCCAGATCTCTACTCCTGACATCAAGGACAACATTGTGGCTCACCTGAAGCAGCTGTACCGCCTGTTGCAGACCCACCAGGAGGGCTGGCCGATGCAGGCCCCTACCATGCACATGGCACAGCCACTGCCCGCGCAGTGACAGGCACTCGGTCCTCCTGTGCCGTTCCCTCCCTTGTGTATATAAGAAAACTTCGATAAGTGCCTTGCCTGAACCTGAATGAAATCTGTAAATCTGGTTTTCTGATTGAATTTCCGCAGTCTCATGGTACTTTATTGGGGGGAGTGTTATAAATAAAGGGAATAAGGAATGCTTCTATCTCCATCACTGTTTAGCTGCTTGCTTAACCCACCACTATGTATAAATCAGATTTGTAATGCTGTAATATTTTTTAAACCAAATACTGACATCCTGTATATAAAGATTTGAGTGGGAGAGAGGAAAAACTAATCTGTACTCTATTAAAATTGCCTTAACGTTATCTTGTCTTATTTTATTTCTCCTTAACCAGCCTGCCAGCTCTCAGCTAACGTTTCTTCCGCTGCGCTTTCTATTTCACGTCTATTTCCACGCGTGCGTTCAGAATAACGCCTAAAGGCAGGGGGAGCTGTGAGCTCCAGCAGCGCTCTGCTCCGCCTTCTTTCGCGTTCAGCTCCGCCTCGCTGAGGCCTCATAGGCCGCTCCGCCCCGGCGTTGCGTGGCGCTGTGGCCGCGCCGGAAGCCGCGGGCGCCGGGTGCGCCGCTACTCTAGGCCGGGGCTCGGCCATGGGCCCCGCGGGCCGCGGCGAGGCGCAGGCCGTCCTGCCCGCCCCGCAGCTGGTGGCGGCGGCTCGGGAGGCGCTGGGGGCCGGGTCCAGGCGGCGGCTGGCGGCAGCCCGCGCCCTGCAGCTGGCCGGAGAGGTGCTGGCGGTGGCGGCGGGGCTGAAGCCGGCGCTGCTGTACGACTGCGGGGCGGCGGGGCCCGCTGAGCTGCGGCGTTACGTGGAGCGGCTGCGGCAGGCCGGGCTGCGCCTGGGCCGCCTGCACCTGCTGGGCGTGGGCGGCGAGGTGCTGCTGCTGCACCCCGGCCGTGCTCGGCGACGGCTGGAGGCCGCGCTCCGTGCCCGCCCCGGGCCGTTCATTGACGTGGCGGCGGCGCGGTCCGGTCCTGCGCTCTGCGGCCCGGCTGAGGCTGCGGCCATCAGGGGCCACATCGAGGCCCTCCTGGCCCACCTCGTGGCTGCGGAGGAGGCTGCCGACAGCCCCGTGTCCTGCAGCGAGGTCGCGGCCGCGGGTTGGAATCTCTGCACCGTGTTTGGGGTGCTGCTGGGCTATCCAGCAGCCTACACCTTCCCGGTGGATGAGGGTGCTGAGAACTGCCTGGCGCTGACGCCACTCAGGGTGTTCGCGGCCCAGGCCTCCTGCCCCAGGATACAGGGAGGGCTGCGGGTGCAGATCTGCTCCTTCAGTATCCCTGAGAGCCTCTGCATGGAGCTGCAGGAGGTGCTGGACGCCTGGAGCAAAGAGCTGAGGGATGACTTCTGTGCGCAGAGCGACTTCATTGATCTCTGCATTTCCAGCGAGGTGGTGGTGCTGCCAGCAGTTGCCTTGTGACACACAGACAGACAAACACTGGCTTTTCACCCTGTTCCTCACATGCCTCAGGGAGCGAGGCGGGGAACCCACTGAGGCACTTTTGGGAGGCCCTGAGCAAGAACCAGATGGGTTTGGGCCTGACCGCTCAGGCCAGGTGTGGATCAAGTCCATGCACGTCCCAAGTATGTGGATGAACAAACAGAGCAGCTCCACAGCCTGGATCCTGACTGTGGAGTGTGTTATTGTGTGTATGTATTTGCTGTGAACGACTGAGGATTAATAAAAAATGCTAACACGGCAGTATTCTTAGTTTGTGAAGTTTGTTGTAGGCTCTGTATTGTGTGTGTGATGTGGTGTCACACCTCATGTTTGTGCCCACGCTTAGCAAGGGACAAGTGCTGCCATAAAGCCTGCACGGCTTTGACGGGTGGAAAAACCTGGCTCTGCCAAATTAGTGTGCTGAGCATGGAAGAGAAGCAGACATGGCTGAGGGTGCTTGGCCATGAGACAAGATAAGGGTATGGCTGAGCCTGGGCTGGGCAGGTGGTGTGAAGGGTTGGGTGGTATGCAGACCTGGTTTTATTGCTGGATGTCAGTAAAGATGGTGCAGGGTGGAATATTTCCCATGCATTGAAACAATAAATGAAGGGAATTGCATTGTTGTTTCTCTATATGCACGCAGCTTGGCTCCCAAATGCACGGGATGCACTGTTCTTGCTGCCCCCATGAGTCCGAGAGGTGCCATTTGAATGGCTTTGTGCAGGGACCAAGCAGTGCAACCTTCAGTTAAAGAATAACCAACACATGGAAGAGAAGGGTGATCTCCCCACATTTATTGGAGCTGTGTCAGTTTGTCTGGCCGAAACCAGCTCGGGTCTCGGCCAGAAGCAGGCAAGGAGCGGTAGAAGGAGCACTGCAGTGAAGGCAGGTTGCTGCCAGCAGGTCAGGAGTCAGTTCTGCATGGAAGTCACTGAGGAGGTGCTCATGGTTTGTAGCTGGCCAGCACAGCAGCCATGGCTATTGCTATCACTGCCAGCAGAAGAGGGAGCCAGTTACCACGTTGTCTCTGCAAAAGGAAGCAAGTATAACCAGGAGACGTTGGGGAGAAGAAAGCTCTCATCCTATCCCTAATAGGCATGCTGCTCATTCTTCCACACTGCCCCAGTAAAGGATTGTTTCCCAGGGTGATGTGCAGCTGCCACAAGTAAGGGGTGAGGGTCAGTCCCACCTTCACCATCTGGCTTTGGTTGAGCTCCTGGCGGCACTGGCGCAGGCAGCTCAGGCAGCAGCGGTACTCCTCACTTAGTGCCTCCAGCTCTGCACGCAGCTCCTGGCACTGGGAGGGGGGGGAGAGAGGGAGGGAATGGAGGCAGGAGTCAGTGGAAGGGAATCCTGTGGCTTCAGGCACCCCAGAACTGGCAGGGCTACCACAGCAGCTATGGTGCTTCACCTGTGTGTGTGCAATGTGACGAGGGGGGATTTCCCCTTCTGCTGCTCGTGTGCCCATACATACCTACATAGGATAGAGCAGGTTTCAGTGTTAGGTGGGGACCCAGGCAGTACCCTGGCTGCTCCCATCCTGTGATCTGCTTGCTTCTACTGCCATCTTTCACATTATGTGAAAGAGAGAGAAGAAAGTAAGCATTTCTTCTGAGCATGCACAGATCAGGAGGAAGATGTGGGGTGTAAAATCATGGCAGGGGTTCATGTCCTTCTGTGTGAGCCAATGCAGCTGGCACCCACAGCTGTTCCCTGTTGCTGTGATTACACTCAGCTAAACCCCTTCCGCAGGTGATGTGGGCACAGTCCTGGAGTGGTTAGTGGAGTAGGTTCTCAGCTCTGGTAAGTCATAGATCTTATTTTTAGTCCCTGTTATCTGAGTTCTGCAGTAAGATGGGTGGGACTGTTGGTGTGTAGAGGGCAGTTTGTGCTACTATTTTTTTTTGTCCTGAAATAATTGCTCATGTGGTAAGCACCTTGCAGAAGGTCAGAAAACTGAGGGTTTTTTGGTTAGATGTTACAGGATTTTTGTTGTTGTTGTTATTTATTTATGAGCCCTCCTTCTACTTCTCCCTCCCATGCTTCCTTTTTACTGACGGCTTTGGCTCTTAAAGAGTGGCTTTATCTTTTTCCTGTGCAGAAATGGTTTTGTCTAAAGCAGTGGTTCTAAACATGGTTGCTTGGTGCCCTGTCCCTACCAGCAGATACTGTGAGCTTCACCTGAGGCTGGTATCAGAACAGAAACAAAGCAGAGTAAATCCTTTTGGTGGATACCAGGTGCAGCCTGCAGCTCTGTCTGCCCCCAGAAGCTTTAATATGCTGTTTTTGTGTGCTCCTGAGAGCACCTGAAAGGCATCTCGATCCCTGATAGGGTTGCTGTCCCAGTAGTGACTTCCTCACCTCTTTCTCCTTTGCTGTAAGCTGGGATGTCCTTTCCTGTATCTCATCCCTCAGGCTTTCTTCTGCCTTCTCCTTGGGATGCTCAGACAGAACATTTTGCACTTCCTTGGCAGGAGTGAGAGGTGGGTTCTGCGTGGTGAAAACCTGATCTAGAAAACAGTCGGGCTGCTGGTGAGAAACACATCTTGGCCTCCAGTTTGCTTTGTAGCTTCTCTACTCAGCTCAGTTTAAAGATAATATTTGCAAGCTATGTACAGAGAGGAGCTCAGTTAGTTATCATAGGCATCTCCTGTAGATGCAAGCTGATAGTCTTTAGAGAAGTGTTTTCAAGCACTTACCAGCAATGGAAGGGTGGAGGAGTTTAAGTGTCTTTTACTGCTTTCTTTAAGTACAGAAATACAGCTGTAATTGCAGCTACAAACTGATTTCTTTTTCAAAATGGCATAGCCACTGAAAAAGAACTTGGAATGAAAACCTTTTTTTTTTTTTTTTTTTAAGTATCTGCCTCATAAGTAAACTTGTATTTTAATGTTAACTACCAAAATACAATCATAGAATCATAACTAGTTTTGTGTAGCTTTAATATAATCCTTTATTCTAAACAAATACAGACTTCTCCTGGAGTCACTTCTGACATTCCCATGTCAAATTAGAGCAGCTTTAGGTGGAAGTTAGAAAGTTTGCTGACCTTTCCTTTGCACCATCACTTCCTGTGTTTTCTGCTCATTGGTCTGGTTCTGCATCAGGTCTGGGGATGAAACAAGTCGCTGTCGTTGCTACAGCAGTAATGCAGAGCTTTCACATTGTACTTCTTTGTGTTACTCACTGTGCAGCTGGCTGATTGTTGCCTCCAATATTAGCTTCTGATTTTGTTCTTTTTGCAATTTACCTGAAATAATAAGAAAACCAGTGTTCATGCAAATATCTACACGCACGTATGGAAGTTTCCCATTTCACCCTTCTTTTTGAAACCCTTTTAATCTTTAATTTGGGACCCTTTGGAAACCAAAGGCTCTCAGCAAGCTGAGGTTATGCAATGCATCCAGATAGAGATTGCTTTGGGTGTACTCTAAGAACCAGGGCTTTCAGATTATGTCCTTGCTCTCTGCCCTTCCCTGAAGGAGTGGTACCTTCGATGTTGCAGATGTGCTTGGCTTGGAGCTGGTTGTCCTGCTGCAGGGTGTCAGCGTGCTGCTGGAGCTCAGCGTGCTCGTGCTGCAGGAAGTCCAGGGCCTGGCAGAGCTCCTCATTCCGTGTAGCTGTGTGCTGTGGTGAGAAGCAAGGACTGGGTATGCAGTAAAAGCACTTCACCAAAGAGCTTTTGTATTAAATGCTCTCAGCCTGCGGGCTATTTGCAAATCAGAAAACATGGGCTCCCTTGGGCCACGGTGCTGCTCCCAAGGGGGTCTGATGTACCTGCAGTTGGCTTTGCAGGGCGTGGAGGTTGCTCTTGAGCTCGCTGTGTGCCTTGGTCATCTGGGCCAATTCGGATTTGAGCATGGTGTAGTGCTCCTTCCAGAAGGCAAGGTCCTCCCTCGTCACAGCCAGGCACCTCTGGGGGAAGCAGATATGAGCCCCACTTCAGGTTTTTAAAAACAGCACAAAATGAGCACAGGTTGTCATTACTTGTCATTACCTTTGGACTTTGGGTGGGAGCATTTAAAAAAGTGATTTTGCATCTTTGCAAATGGCAAACTGGTTGTTGCCTTTCTCTGAAATCAAGGGGCTGAATAAGATTAATGCAAAGCCAGGTGTCAAACGTGCTTCTTACCTGAGAGTTTTGCAGCTGCTGCTCTGCCTGGAGTTTGTCCTCGAGCATTTTCTGCAGAGCCTCCTTTGCCTTCTGCTCGTAGGTCTGCTTCTGGTCCTCCATCTCTATCAGGATCTTCTTCACACACTCCTTTGAGTAACTCTTTAAAGGAAGAATTAGAGTGCTTGAGGGGTTTTATCCGACATATTCCTAATCTCGCTAAGACTGAATATTAGCAAGTCCACACTGTGTAAATGCAACTGCTAATTTGCTGTGGAATATTGCTTCAGCAAAGAGGAAAAATACTTTTCAGATCCGTATCTAATCAGATTACTCTAGAAACTGAGACCTGACCCAATTACATGATTCAGTTTTTCGTGCCTTTCTTCTGAGCTTGTTGCTCAGACAGTCAGACCTTACCTGGGTGCAGGCCTGCAGCTGATTTTCCAGGGCCCTCAGTTTACACTTGAGTTTATCTTCATTCAGCTGACCCTGGGGAAAAACAATTGGACCAATGTGTGTAATCACAATTTACACATTCTGCCTCCAACACCATTAATTTGTATTTTGTTCATTTTCTTCTATAATACTGTGGTTAAATTTGGCCAAAGTATTTTTCAGTGCTTAGAGTTCCAGTGAGACTTCAGTCTCAGGATGTTGTGGGGGAAGTTAAACCTTTACACGTGGAGACCCTTCCTGAGGTAGAACTGCTGCCTGGCCCCAGGGCTGTGAGTCCCAGCTGATGGCTGCTGCAGTGCTGAGCTCTCACCCTGCAGCTTGCGTGGGAAACGGCTCAGGTCTGCGTTGTGACACTGAGCAGCTGGGCAGGAGGATGGATGACAATAACAAGGATTCATTTTTCCTGTTATCATCTCGGTGTTCGTTAGGCTTTTTACTTAGGTTTTGTGAAACCAGACTGCATGCAAATTCAGATGAAATTTCTAGCAGAGTTCACATATGCTGTTTTTTCGCTACTGATACTGAGAGCATCATTATCATCTCTGCTTGCTGGTGTTTGAAGCTGGGCTTTTGAATAAGCAGCTCCTTGATGTTTGGGGAAGAGCTGTCAGACCCAAGCCAAACCTGACTCTCTGGTGTCTTAGCAGTGTTTAAATTGGCACAGGAATAAGTTTACAGTCCCAAAGAATAAAGCTTCCCAGTTCGGTTGTCAGTACAGAAATAGCCTGAGGGCTGTGTCCCCTTAGAAAGTAGGTGGCATATGGAAGAGCATTTTAAAATATGAAATATTATGCCTGTCTTTCCTTTGTGGTTCATTTGTTCTGCTGTATGCAGAGGCTTACAAAGGAGGGCAGTGATGTTTCATGGTTGTTGTGCGCTGTGCAGAGTACAGGGTGGCAGAGCACCGGCCCCTTCCTACGCTGTAAAGCAGAAATGTGCTGGCAGGCTGCTTTTATGGAGATGCAGCTTATAAGTTGGCAGAAGAACATACGGTGCTGAGATTTCCCTATAGGGAATAAACTGACTGTTACCAGACCGAGTGGGTTTGTGCAGATACGTGGGAGGGCAGAAGTAGTTGTGCTTCTGACCTGAAAAGTTACATGAGCTCATCCTGGCCAAGCCTTTGTGCTGATGATTATTGACATGAAAGGGGCTGGTTGAGAAAAAAGCAAACCACCACACAACAACCAAACCCTACAGCTATCACCGTCTGATGGTTTTTCCTCTGCGGGGTGTCTGGTGATTTCTGATCATCGCTCAGAGTCCTGGTGCAGGAACCCAGGGGCAAAACTCCGGGTAGGGGAGAAGGCTGAGGTTAATGGGTTCAAAAAGCATCCGCTCTTGTAAATGCTTGGAATCCTTGATAGTCCTCATCCTCAACTCTGAAGTTACCAGGCTGAGCAGCTCCAAACTTCTTGCTTGAAAACTCTTCTGCTGCATTTCTCCATGACTGCCACTTCGGTGACTTCAAAACTCTTCTTATCTGGCAGCTGTTGTTATCCTGTGGCTGATGAACTGTTTCCGATACTCCTTTGTGAACCAGTTGGAATAGCTGGTGTAAAGCAATAATTGCTTTATCTGGAGGGCTCCCACTTTGCACAGACACAATGCTTGTGTCAGGAAAATGGATTCACGAAGTCACAGTAAAGCACGGGATGTGACAGAGCTTAGACTCTGCAGGGCTGTAAGGCACCTCCAAGCATTGGGTTCAACTTAGAAGGTAGGAATGGAAGCAAATGTATTAAAGAAATGATCTTTCACAAGAGAACAGCTCTAAATTTACTCTTAACAGCCATAGGAAAGACTGTGTTTTCTGCACTTGCCGGTACTTTTGAATCCATCAGTTTTACAACAGACAAGAGCTGAGTGTCAGAGCTGTTGCAGGAGAGTCTTCATCCTGGAGGTAAAACCATGGGGGGATCCAGGGGACTGATCCCCACAGCACTGCAATGCTCCCATCCTCCTGATGGCATGCACCTGCTCCTTCAAACTAAAAGCATCCACGAGCATCTCCTTAAATCACTCTGACCACTTCAGGAGCTGCTGCCAGATCACCCGTGAACCTGCCGCCCCAGATCTTTAAAACTCCAAATACTGGGAGGAATTTAAAGCTGCCACAGTGTACAAGGAACATCCAAACCCACCCACAGCACCCCCTGCCCCTTCCCAGCATGGTACTGCCTGCTTTGCTCTGTGCTTGCGGTGCCAGCAGTGAGTGAATTTGTTTAATTTATAGCCCCGAGTGAAAGGCAGAGGGAAGCCTCCCATCTGCAGCAGAGACAGCAAGAAGCAAAGTGCACCCACCTGTTTCTAATCTGAGGTTTCATGGCTACTTCATGCAGTGTGTCTGTGTTTTTTCCTCCTGCATTATATTTGAAGAAGCAACCGAAGGCGGAAGCTTCTAACCACAGTACATCTAACACTTGTTTTTTATACTCTCTCGCCCTATCGCTGCTTTTGTGCCCCAACAGAACTTTCAAACCCTTTTTCCGATGGTATGATGCACTCTGTATTAACATTTGATTTAATAACCCTGCATAAAACGCTTCATATGTCCCTAAAGAACGAGCCCTAAAATGCATTGCCTCCACTTTACCTCCTGATAAGGACAGAGGGAGAAATTTCAAGCACGCGTCCCCTCCATTTCTTTCTTTCTTTTGCATTCAACTTGCCCTAAACAGAAAGGGGAGAGCGAGAAAAGCAGCACTTTGTTTTGCAGACAGTGCTGTGTGTGTAGCATCTCCAAAGTGCTACGTAAGACACAGAAAAGCGAGATCCCTGGGACTGTGGTTACATGGTCTGCCTGCCCCACAGCAAAGCCCCCAGCTGCCTGTACCTGCCAGGACTTCTCGGAGGCGTGCAGCAGTGTGGCGAGCAGCTCCTGCAGGATCACCATCTTCTGCTTCAGCAGCAGCTCACGGTGCAGGGCCTCCTGTGGGGAAGCAGCCCTTGGTCTGATAATGATAATAATGCATGGTTGTTCTTGCTCCAGGGCTGCTCGTGGTGCCTGGTGCCTACCTTCAGGTAACCAGAGAGCTGCACGATTTCCTGCAGGAAAGGGGAAGTGTTTCAGACCATGGGGTTGTTTCAGTTCACAAACAAATAACAAATGGGCTACAGCATTCAAATGCTTTGAAATCAGCTGGAGGCAACAGCAGGAACAGGGCTGTATATCGTGTGCATATTGCTTACCTTATTGAAAACTGTATTTCCACAGCTGAAATGGAAAAAGAAAACACACTTGTGAGGTGAATGCAAGCCTTACAGCAGCCCAGAGCCCAGCTCTCTCCTTGTGGGCACAGTGCAGGTGTCTGCAGGCTGTGTGTTATGGCAGCATGGAGTGGGCATGGCTGTGTTGTGCTGAGGGGAGCAGGGCTTACTCTGTCTGTTGGCCTGAGTCCTTCACCCTTGTGCTTGCAGGAGTCTGAGTTCCTGTGAAAATAGAGTGAAAGGATGCACCTGGGGCCGGAAAGCTCCTCTCTGTGCATGTGCTCAGCTCTGCTGAGCGGCACTGATGGGGAGCAACCGTAACCAGGAGCAGTGGGGATGTGGTGCTGTGGTGCTCAGGGGAAGAAGAAGGGCCACTGAGTGTCCCTCACTTACCTCTGGTGCTTGTAGAGGAGTGTGGCCTAGGGATGGCTTCAGCCAAAATGCCTGTAGGACTGCTGAGCCCAAGTGGGGCGAGTGTGGATGGGCACACAGGGTGACTCCATGGGCGCTGCAATGAGAAATGGCTCGTGTCAGGGTCTGTGAAACAAGGGGCAGAGTCCAGCTTTGTGCCTTTGGTGGAGGAAGAATAGTGATGGATGCTGAGAGCATGGCTGTTCCCATGGGATCTGCTATTCATTTTGCGCAGGATGTAAATCTAGAAGGAAATCTCCTTGCCTACTGGGTGTTGTGCATTGCACCTTTCTGCAGATCTGAGGCTCCAGGTTCCTGTTAGCTGGGCAGCACAGGGCAGGCAGTGGGGAGCAGAGCATCAAACACATCACCATACAATCATAGGATCATAGAATGGCCTAGGTTGAAAAGGACCACTATGCTCATCTATTTTCAACCCCCTGCTATGTGCAGGGTCACCAACCAGCAGACCAGGCTGCCCAGAGCCACATCCAGCCTGGCCTTGAATGCCTGCAGGGATGGGGCATCCACAACCTCCTTGGGCAACCTGTTCCAGTGCATCGCCACCCTTTGAGTGAAAGTCTCCTAATATCTAACCTAAGCCTCCCCTGTCTCAGTTTAAGACCATTTCCCCTCATCTTCCCACCATCCATCCCTGGATGTGTTTAAAAACCGTTTGGATGCAGCGCTCAGGGACATGATTTAGCAGAGGGTTGTTCGAGTTAGGGTAGTATGGTTAGCTTGCGATTGGGTGTGATGATCTTTAAGGTCTTCTCCAACCTGAGCAATTTTATGATTCTATGATCTTTGTTCCTGCTAGCAGGGAAGGTGATAGAAGGAACCCAGTTGTTTACGCTGCAGCTCTCATGGGGGGAGGAGGGGAAAGTAATTATAGAAGTGCCAAACTAATTTAGCAGACAGGACGAGGGGTTGCACTTGGAGGAATAGCAGCAGCTCTCCGTTTGGTTCACGTTTAGCTTAGCAAACAGGAAGGAACATGCTGCGAGGGAGGTGACACGCTTTGCCGTCGGCTGATGCAGCCCATAAACAAACACAGTTTTACGGGCGCGCGGCCGCTTTGCGCATCAGGACCCCGACGTGGTGGGGGCTGAAGCATTACCTGGAGCAGCACGGGTGCGCTGAGCTCCCCGGCGGTGCTCCCGAGGTTCCGCCTGCGCAGGAACTCTCTCTGCCGTGGGCTCTGTGGCTGCTCCTCGCTGCGGCCCGGCCGCCGGGCGCTGTGTGCGTGGCCACGGCGCCGCAAAGCCTCGCGTGTCTCCTGTCGCCGCTCGCATTTCTCCTCGTAGCTTTCGCCTGCACGCCGCGGCCGGGCCCGTTCTGGGGGGCTGATCATAGCGAGACCCCCTGTCCTGCTAAAACCGAGGGGTGGTGGTGGTTGTAGTAGGATGTGTTGTCTGTGAGCTCAGTGTGCTGATGGTGTAACCCATCCCACCCTGCGCTCGCTGCTCGTTGGGGTGGGTGCTGTGACCCGCACAAATTCCACCTCTGCTCTGTATTTGGGGGGTATTCTGTGGCCTGAGCCAGGTGGGCGGCTGAGCACCTGCACTACTGCACCATGTGCATCTGCAGGGTGAGTTTTTTTGCCAAAAACAAACAAACAAAAAAACTCTGTTGGTCTCATTCTGTCTCAAGCAATTAGGAAGTCATTGAGTTTAATGGGGGGAAAAAATGCGAGCAAGTAAAAACCCATTTATGTATATAACACTTCCATGCTTGTTAGTCTGCAGTGAGCCTCTCCTTTGGTCTGGATGTGCCACTGGCCAGCTGCTCCTGCATAGGGCAGAGGAAGTGCCTGCAAACCAGAGCGCTGCTGCACGGCTGGGTGATCTGGTGCTTCCGAGAGATGGGCAGCACTCCTGTGCTCTCTGTTTGAATATCCCATTCTTTGAAGCTTCCAACAGCTTCTGAAGCATCTCTAATTTTACCCGGCCCTTACTGAGCAATTCCAGCAGCATTCCACTTTTTGGGTGGTTCTTACTGCCACGCACTTCCAGCAGAAGGGATCTGGGGCTACAAGAGGCTGAGCAGGTTATTTCCGTGTGTTATTCTCCATACCACAGTGACCCTGCAGTTCCCGTCCATGGCTCACTCACCCACTGGGGCCCTGCCACCCACCCAGCCATCCCTCAGGCCTCCCTGCAGCACTTCAGTTAACCAGAAGTTGTTGTAAACCAAGGTAAGGCTTAAGGAAACACGCGGTCCATTACTCACCCCGAGCTGAGCAAAGCGTTGAGGCCTTCTTGGAGAGCGAATAACTTATGTCCTTCTGCCACTGCCTGAAGTTACCCTCTCTAATTACCAACCGTGTCCTTTAGCTTTGCTTTTCAACCTGTTAGGTTTCTTGCTTCGAGGGAAACAAACAACAAGAAACGTTTCGTGCCGGTTCATGTTACCGCCTCCCCGTGTCCATCATAGAAGGGTGAAAGCAGGGGAAGAAGAAGCGTGGTGAGATGAGAGGGCAGCGCTGGAGCTGCAGGGCTGCAGGCACTTACCTGGCTGTGCCTCGGTGCAGCTGGGTGAGCGCGGGGCTGCAGGGCACAAACGCTGTCCTCCGGGTGCCCGCAGCTTCGTGCTGCTGCCGCTGCCTCGCTGTGTTTCTTTCTGTCGAACAGGAAGCGTTGGGGCCACAGCCTGAGCCCTGGTTCCTGTCCTGCAGCGTGGGGTTTGGGGTTATCTTGGGGTGCCAGCAGCTCCCACAGCTGCCTCCCTTATCAGAGCGCTGGTCCCAGGGCTCTGGCAGCACCGGGTGACCGAATCGCTCCGGGTTGCTTTGGGGGTATGGAAATCCAGGGAGTAATGCTATGTTATTGTAAGGCTTCTCGCAGAATGAAAAGGAGGGAAAAAAAGTGTATTTCAGGAGAGGTCACGAACGGTAGAAATTCATTAAGGTCTTAGAGAAGTGAAAGCTGTGTTAATGCAAATCATGGGGTGGGTTTAAGCAGCTCCGTGCTGAGAGGGGATCTGCGCATACTCCAGTGGAAGAGGAACAAAACTCAAACCAGAGATGTCACAAAGTAATGTAGGATTTATTGCTCGGAAGTAAAGGTACAGGCAAAAACCACTGTAGTGTGAGCACTCTCTGTTTGCCTTTGCTGGTTGGTTCATGGGGGTTCGCCCAAATCCCTTCTTAGAAGGAGTTCGGAGCTCAACCCGTGCAGTTCTGCTTTATAATCCTCTTCCGTGAGTCTCCACTCTACATAATTTTATTATTATTATTTAAAATATTTAATTGCAACTGGGTCACTGCAGATCTTCATGTAGTGCCACTCTGAATCCCACCATCTTTCCTTCAAAAGCGCAAGGCTGCGTTCTACAGGTCCGATGCCTTCCATATCCATAACTTTTTGACTGACTCCTCCTTTGGGAGGGATGTGGGTGAGATGCAGCGAAGCACACGGAGCAGTTGGGCTCTGGGTGCTGCTGCATCCCCCAGCCTGCTCCTAATTCTGGCCTTGCAGAGCCCTTTTGGGGACCCCCACTGCCTGCGAGGAGCTATTTACAGGCAGCATAAATAAACATTTTTGTGTTGTGTCGTAGGCTCCCAGTGCCCAGTGTTGTGCAGTCAGTTCCCAGCCACGCTGCCTTCAGAAATGTCCCCAACACTGCTTTGGGGTGGGCTTTTCTGGAGGCACCACTGCCCATGGGGAAGTGTTGGCTGCTCAGAGCTGTGCTAATGCCCCGAGCCCTGGGACGGCGGTGCTCTCTTGATGTTTTCCACCTGATGGTTGCTTCTAATGAGGCCATCCAGGAAGTCAGGGGCAAAGTCTCGCAGCAGCACTGCTGGGGTCACGGTGCTGGCAGGGTAATGCAGCTCACGCTGACGCAGGGCCCCGCTCCGGATGATCTCCAGTGCACACTCCTCCTTGGGTGCTGGTGCTACCTTAATGACGTGTGAGACCGCCCGCACCGCGTTCTCTGCAGTGACAGAAGGGCAGCTGTGTTGCACCAGGTCCACATTTTTATCTGTGAGCCTCGGTGGCGCCGAGCTTACCTGTGTTAATGTAGCCCAGGATGCAGAGCGTGATGGAAACGTTGACGTTTTCTATGATGAATTCATGCCTCAAGGAGCTGAAAAATCCTTCCAAGGCAAACTTAGTCGCAGAGTAGGGAGCAGTGAAGGGTGAGGCAACTTTACCTGGGCAGAGGCACAGGGTCAGAGCTCACCTGTGCTGGATGGGTGCAGGGCTGCGTGGCTCTGCCTGCCCCTGCCTTTCCCATAGCTGCAATTTTGTGGCGTGAGCAATCTATCTTAAATGCTTTAGGGAAAGAAAGAAATGCAGGAGTGTTTAAAGCGCAGCACATGGCGTGAGAGACCTTTGTTGTGGGCTGCACTGTTCTCGTTTTCCTGCATATATACCTGTGTATGACAAGTGTGTGTATAATGTGTGGTCATGTAGGTAAGCCTGCAGAAGTGCACTGATTGCAATGCATGCACAGAGATGAGCAGGAAAAGCACGAGGCAGGGACATGGCAGGGAGAGATGGGCACTTGTGTGCTCACCTGAAACAGATGAGACCACCACGATGCTGCCCTCACTCTCCTTCAGCATGGGCAGGGCAGACACGGTCATGGCCACATAGCTGAGGAAGTTGGTCTCCATCACCTTCCGCACGTGATCCACATCCCCATTGAAGAAGTTAAAATAGCTGTAGCCAATGTGGTTCAGGATGAGCATGTCAAGGCCTCCTGGAAGCAGAGTGTGTTGGATGTTTGCAGCCAGCATCTCAGCCCCAGGCTGCATTGTGGCAGCCAGGGTGGCCCCAAAATGTAGCACAGGGTTTGGGTACTTGCTACACACCCCAGGTGATCTCAGCCTCTTTCACCACCTCCTCAGCAAAAGCTGTGCTCTCCATGGAGCCGCTCACATAGCGGGCAGATGCAGCACCCAGATCCAGGCACTTGTCCACTACCTGGGGACAGTGAGAGAGGCATTGGTCGAGGTGTTGGAGGTGGCTGACAACCCTCCTCTCTTTGCTGGGGGGACGTTGCTCAGAGGAACATTTCCTCTGCAATAGCTGAATACCGTGAGGAAAGAAATGCTGTGCTGTCAGCATTGAAAATACAATTTATGGCGGTGTGCTGGGGAGCCTGCTTGGAATCCAGCATCCCTGTGAGCACGGGATGGGTGGGTATTTCAGCTCCTGCCTGCCCGTGGGGGTCTGCATTGCAGCCGTGCTCACAGTGCCTGCTGCCCACCTTCTGCAGCTTGGCCTCCGTCCGCGCCGTGAGCAGCACGTGGGCTCCCATGCGTGCCAGGTGATACGCCATCTGCTCCCCAATGCCACTGCTGGCTCCTGTCACGATCACTCTCTTCCCCCGGAGCATCTCTGGAGGGGATGCAGAGCTCAGGGCTGTGCACAGCCTTGTACCACACCCCCATGCACGGCTCCTTTGTGCCGCTGCAGGATGCAGCAGCTGCTGCTGCAGCCCCCGGTCGGGCTCCAGCCCAGCGTGGAACTGCTCTGCAATTGGCAGGAGTTGACAAGGAAAATGAATAAATATTTACAGCGGTTAACTGCACGCTTCCAAAACAAATCCGTTTGCTGAGAGCAAGAATGCGAGCCTGGCAGACCCACACACCACCCCGTGAGCTGCTCCTGCGTGGGGAGGACGGCTCCCACCGCCCGCACCTCCTGCGCTCTGCTTTTCAGCTGCTTTGGATGCCCCCGAGTGGTGCGGGCTGGGCAGCAGCTCGGCTGCCTGCTGCTAAGCGTGCATTTTCTATGACTTACCTTCGTTGAAATTCCCAGGTCCTGAGTAAAAATACACGGCCAGTCCCAGCCCCAGCAAGGGGATGAGAACCTTCAGGAGCAGCCCCATCCCTTTGCCAGCGCTCGGGTTGGAGCAGACGCGTGGCCGGGGAGAGCAATGGCTGTTCTGAGCTGATCCCTGCAGGTCTGCTGGTGCCTTTTCCTTTCGTGCTCCCTGCAGTTTAGCAAACATTAACCTAATAGAGGGCGTTGTGCTGGACTTTGGGCTGACTCTTTGCACCCTTCTCCTCCTATCAATGTCCAGGGTGTTTTCTGAGGCCACCTTGGGAAGCTGCTGCCTGATGGAGATGTGGGTACACTATTTGATGACTGCTGATGGGGCTGGGATACCCGTGTCCCCCCTTTCAGACCTCTCAGCTTTCTCTCTTCCACTTCATATTTAAAACTGAGCCCGATTTTCCCTTCCTCTCTGGTGCCACGAGGGTTTGTTGGTCAGCAGTGACCACTGCGATGCAGGTTCATACAGATACTGGGCAGAACAGGGCTGGCCATGCAGCTGTTTTTGGCTTGTGCTCTGTAACATCACCACTGGCACAGTGCTGACAGCTCCTGTGTGGTTCTTAGACCCACAGAATTACACTCTCTCTTGAGGAACCCAATGAGGCAGACTGTGAAAGGCACTTAAAGAGCCAGGAGGTGAATAATGAAGATCATCAGCTTTCACAGGTGTTCTGTGTCGGTGCTAAGCTGGGCAAATGGCAAACTGCCTCGCAAATGATTTTCCCAAAGAGAAATTTAAAGAGCAAAACCTGCTCTGTGCACACTGGGTGTCAAGATAAGGAGAACAGAGGTGCAGCTCCAGCTTCCTATAGAAAGTGAGGAGCAAAATGATCCTGGGGAGTGGCTGGGGGGGGGGGGGGGGGGGAGGGGATTCTCATTTCATCTTGCAGCAGGGTGGGCAGTGATTTTGGATGGAAGTACCACTCGGGTATCAGTGCTGGGGTGAGGGGAGCTGTGTCACATCACTGCAGGCTCACGTTGAGGTTTTGCCTTCAGTGAGCACTGTGCTTTGTACTGAGCTTATGGCTTAGGGCAACACCAAAGCAGCACTGTGTATCCAGGGGTGTTTTGCAGTTAGTGTCTGTGTAAGGGACTGTACCCCAAGGAATTAACTTGGTGAATAGATTTGCACTGAAGTTGGACTTTAAGCTAAATGAAAAACAAGCTAGGCTGTTATTCTTCCAATGAAATAATGGTTTATTGCAGTATTCAATAATTAAAGAAAGGCGGGTCAGTGGAACGATGCCCATTCGCAGCAGCGTTTAGTAATGGAAAAAGAGATTAAAACCAAAACAACAACAACAAATCCACAGAGCACACAACAAGGTTAGTAAGCTGCACTTAACAATCAGTTAGTTACTGCTTTCCCCAGGTTTTGGGGAAGGGCTCCAACCAGGATGGCTGCTTCCAAGCAGGAAGGGCGCACCTGCGGGAATCCGCAGCTCAGCCGGGGATCCCAGCCGGCTCCTCTCGGGGGCGAGGCGGTTATTAAAGCTAACTGACGGGGGATGGCTGCAGGCACGGCTGCGGCCAGCAGAGGCGGCTGTCGGCCCGGCGGTGGCATCCTTCAGGCCGCCCGCAGCCGCTCGGGTCGGTACCGCTGCCGCACCAGCAGGTCCAGCAGCTCGGCGGCCCAATCCCGCAGCAGCAGCGGCAGTTTGGTGGATGCGTAGCGGTAATAGACCTCCCGCTGACGCAGGGTTCCTCCTTTGATGATCTCCAAGGCGCATTCCTCTTTGGGAGCCGGGGACATCAGGAGAACGTCGGCGGCCGCACGCATGGCGTTCTCTAGTCGAGGAACAAGAGAGGTTTCAGCAGGGCTGCCCTCTGCTTGTCCTTTTGTTGGTTTGCCTGCGATAAGTGAGCTGGGGGGCTGCCTCGTTTATTCCTACAGCTAAATGTAGTGTATGCACTGGAAAACAGAAGCAGCTTCAAGTCGCTCCCATCATTGCTTTCGCTCCCGTTGCTCGCTGCATCAGATAAGATTAATGGGAGATGTGTGGTCGGTGCTTCCACTTACACTCACTGAATTTTAGGCTGTCCCAGCCTGTGCACAGTGGCTGATTTTCATAGAACCGTGGAGTCGTTAAGGTTGGAAAAGAGCTCTGAGATCCCTGAGTTCAACCCCACCATCCCCGCTGTGACCACGTCCCCAAGTGTCACATCTCCACAGCTCCAAACACCTCCAGGGATGGTGACTCCCCAGCCTGAGCCACTGCCTGACTGCTCTTGCTGAGAATACCTCTGTCCTAATATCCTACCTGAGTACAGCAGGGAAACAAATCAGTCTGGAATCTGTTTTTTGGTGGAAGAGAAGTAGGAGCCTGCTGAGAGCAGAGGTGATGCTGCACTCGCTCCCACTGCAGCAGGAAAAGCAGCACTGGAGATGGGGCACAGGAGGGGAGGGCACAAAGCTGGGCATGTGATGCTCAGTTCCTGGGCAGCCAGATTGGCACGGATGGAGCTTACCAGTGTCAATGAAGCCAAGGATGCAGAGTGTGATGGAAACGTTAACGCTCTGGATGCTGAATTCCTGCCTCAGAGAGCTGAAAAATCCATCCAGGGCAAACTTAGTTGCAGAGTAAGGGACCGTAAAGGGAAACCCAACTTTACCTGGACACAGAGTGAAGTTCCATTAAAGCATGGAAAGCTGCACCACATCAGCCTCTTTTTTGTGCTTCATCAGATAAAGGATTTTAGCCAAAGGGAGTTTACTGTTAGGGGAAATGTCACCCTGGCACTTGAGCAGCAGGACTACAGAACATTCCTGTCAGCCTCCAGCTCTGTTACAGTCTGAAGTCCAGCAGCACATCTCACAGCTCTGCTCAGGTGTGAGCAACAGGCAGCAGCCACGGAGCAAAGTTTGATCTCCTGCCTCTGGGTGCTGAGTGGAGCCGATTCCCAGCAGCCAGCAGTGCGGGGGCTGCAGCTGCTGTTAATTTAATCTCCTGACTTAACAGAAATTTATTAGAAAAGGCTCTGCAAACATTTGCAGGATCTTGACCTGGCAAACCACAACGAACTGTCAGAGGAACAGTGCAGTGAGAAATGACAGCATTTCCCCTTTTCTTTGTAGAACTGGAGCTACGTGAGCTCTGCTGCACCGCTGGGTGTGGGGTTTAATCACCAGGCTCCTCAGGGAGCAAGGTGGGGCAGTGGGATTGCATCAGAAATGCGAAAAAGACCTGGAAACTGTCGTTGCTTTGGGTGTGTTAAATAGTTCTGGCTCCTCTGAGGTGCACATGCTTCTTACAAAAACCAGCCCATGAAATCCCACATCCCAGACCTCGCTCCCACTCACCTGCCATAGAGGAGACCACCACGATGCTACCCCCGCTCCGCTTCAGCATGGGCAGGGCAGAGACTGTCATGGCCACGTAGCTCAGGAAATTGATGTCCAGGAGCTTCTGGACATGTCCAACATCTCCATCAAAGTAATTGAAGTACGACTTGCCAACGTGGTTAAGAATCAGCATGTCGAGGCCTCCTGGAAGCAGAGGAATTGGCGTTAGTTTTGGGTGGGAGGGGGCTGCTGTGGGCAGGATGGAGCCTTTCTTGACAGCAGAACCAATGCAACCAGAATGTTTTGGGGCCGTTGTCATTTGGGGTTGATTTTTTTGGGTCAAAGCTGCCATCTCTGGAGCTGGGATGGCCTGGATGGTGGCTGCCAATGAAAACATGCTGGACTCATCTAACTCGTCCCAGATGAGAGCTGTTGTGAGCTTTTTTCCCCCCCAGTTTGAAACACAAATAACATTGCAAAAGGGAGATTGCTCCTGAGCTATCTGGCCTCATTTTGGGAGAGGGAGGCACAGCACTGAGCTGAGCACTGCCATTCTGCACTGATCACCCATGACCACAACAGCGATGCTGCTGCGCGCTGCTGCATGGCTTCACCCCTGGTAGCAGCAGTGATGAAACCCAGGATTGTGATATCAGGACAGGATGTTACGAGGGCACAGGGATTAAATTCAGAGGGCAATTTAGGCTCTGCTGGAGCGATGCAGGCTGGGCTGCAGGGCGCACAATTAGGGGAAACCTCTTCCCATCCCCACTTCTTTTTGCTTTTGTGGTGCACAGCAACAAAGCAGCGTGCTGGGGAGCTGCAGACATACCCAGTTCAGCCTCGGCCACCTCCACCAGCTGCCGGGTGGTGGCCATGTCCTCCATGCTGCCGCTGACCAGCCGTGCTGAGCTGGCCCCCAGCGCCCGGCACCGCTCCACCACCTGCGATGCAACGCGGCGCATCAGGCCCTGCAAGCTGGGGGCTGCGCTCACCAAAACACACCCCAGCCCCCCCAAACCTCACTGCAGTGTTTCTTGGAGCCTCTGAATCTCTTGGGGCTCCCTTTGAAGTTTTATCCCTTTGGTGAATGCATGGCCCGAGGCTGTTTGGCTCCTTATCAGTGCGGTTCTGTGCTGGAATTGTGTGTGTAGGTTAAGCGGGAGCTGATAGATCACTGCAGTGGAATGAGGGTGTGTGTGGCTGCAGCCTGTGCATATGGAGACCTGTACCTTCACCGAGCAATTCAAACATCACAGGGTGTGCAGTGCGTGCCTGCAGGAGGGCCATTTCTGTGCGTGCAGGAGCTCTGGAGAGCGTAACCTTGCACACCCGTGAGCAGAACTGCACGCATCCACTGTCCGTGCCGCTGCAGTTCCACGCAACCGTATTTACGTATATACCTGCAATGTGAGGTTGGCCTTCCTGTGTTTGTGTGTGCATGTGTGAGTGCCCAGCTTGCCATTTACTTGCTGCAGCTTTGCCTCTGTCCGCGCCGTGACCAGGACGTGGGCTCCCATCCGTGCCAGGTGATAGGCCATCTGCTCCCCGATGCCGGTGCTCGCTCCGGTGACGATCACACGCTTCCCTTTCAGCATCTCTGGGGACCAAGGCACAGGAGTTTAATTTATCCAAACCCTATTTGAAAAGAAAATAAAGTCCCCTAATGGCTTCAAATAGAAGCAAGCTGAATGCAGATCTTCACGCTCTGCCCCGCTTATCCTCTCCCTCCCCTGGAAATGCTGTACCCAGGAGCAGCTGCAGCTTGAACTGACCATAACAGCACAGTTCTTGGCTCCTTCGACAGCTTTTCACACATCAGGACGCAACTTACAAACACCCCAGCTATCCTGCAATGAAAAACACCCCATCAGTGCATGCTGCAGAACTTAAAATCCAACATCTAAAAACCGCGAAACTTTACTTTGCGCTTGAATGCAAAGTGCTCAAAGCCTTCTTTGCTTCAGGAGCCCCTGCCTCCCTGCTCCCTTGGGAGCCGCGTGTTGCTTCTTCCATTTGAGTCCAGATCTCTGCTAAAACTGTGCTCCATCCTCAGCCCTGCCACAAAGGCTTGGTCCAACCTCTGCACATCTCCGTGCCAAACGCTCAAATGTGTCTTTTAATATTTTGCTTCAGGACAGATTCCCTTTCGATACTCACCAGGTTTGAAATTCTCCCTCGACGAATAAAAACAGAAGGCCAAAACCAGTCCCAAAACGGGGATGAGAATCTTTTGCAACAAACCCATCGTAGGAAATGGAGCAGGAAGAGAAAAGAGGAAAACAGCCTCTGCAGAGCTGCTCCCGGAGGCAGCAGCAATGCCAGTCCTTCAAAACCTGTTGGTGCGGGAGCCGTGGCTCCCAAAGCACTGAGAAGTCACAGTGGGGTTGGTGAGAGAAGCAAACACTTCGATCTGCTCCCACGGAGCTGGGGAGCAGTGGCCTAACCAGTGGTGCTGCTGCGGGCTCTGCCCGGCTCTGTTCATATTTCCTGTCCCTACGTTAAAATGCAGAATTTTGCACAACACCCTGGAAGAGGTGTGTCCTTGCTGAACAGCATCAAGTTTCACTCGGAGAACATCAGAGGCAGAGTGCTGCAGGTGGCCGGGGCTCCTCTTTAATGCCCGCTGGCTCTGGATGCACGCAGCTGCAGCACCCATCTGGATGGGACCCTCCACGCAGGGCAGTCACCTCTCTGCATCCCAGGGAGAAAACCACAAAGGCAGCATTTGCTTTTTCACCTCACCCTGCTCCTGAGAAGGCTGAGCTGAACCCCCTCAAGGCTGCACCCCCAGCTCCAAGGGGAGCACCGAGAGGCCTGCAGCCAAGCACTGAGTGTTGTGTTTTTTTGCAGAGAAGTCAGAGTCCTTGTGCTGCTTGCTTGGAGCGCTGCGGGAGCTTTGCTGTTATTTGTAAGTGAATGCAGTCCAAGGGAAAAACATGTCACATCCGCTCCCTTGCTATGTCCAGGCAGCAGCAAACCCAGTGCCACTGATGGTGTGTGAGAGGGCTGGGAGCTGCCCTGCAGAGCACTGACACTGCTGCAGGAGATGGGCACCGTGTGCTCCCTGCAGCCTTCGCTGCTCCCAGTTCTGCTCTTTTACTTCAGACCCAACTTTCTCCTGATAAGAATCACTTCACCCACACTTGGTCCAATAACAGAGCCGCAGAAGCTCTGCCCCTTCCTGAGTCCCTTTGCTTTGAACTCGGGTTGTGATCACAGGGCACTCATCTCACTGCTGGGCTTGAGAAAACAAATCCCTCAGCCCTGCCTCATCCGTCCTGCGAGTGGGGGGAGCTGCTGTTGTAATCTGTTGTTATTACATAGCATGAGGATACTGTGGTAAGCAATAGCTGCCAGCCTTGGTGTGGATGCTGCAGAGCCCCCACCCCAGCTGTGCTCTGCTGCCCATGGGGATTTTTCCTCCCTCCTCATCACCTGGCATCGCTGCGCCTCACTCCCACTCAGAGCTTTTTCTGGGTTTGTTTTGCTTAAGAACTTGTTTTTAACCTCTTCTGGAGGGCGGGGAGCGAAGAAAGTGAGAGGAGGGCAGGGAGGCTGTGGAGGCATTTTCTGATCCCAGGAGCAGAATTCAGCCCATGGAGCTGCTTCTGGCTGCGCTGCTGCCAGATCCTCATAGGGATCACTGCAAGGGGAGCAGCTCCACCTGAATCCTCCTGCCTGCTCCCTCCTGCTGCGTGTTCCCTCCTGCTGCATGTCTCTCCTGCATCACCCAGCCCCCTGCAGCCAGTGTTTTCCAGCACTGGGACTGAGGCAGGCTCCTGCATGCACCATGGGGATACAGAGGCACTTGGCAGGAAGTAGAATACAGCTTTTTGTTCTCCCTTTTGAAGGATATTTGGCTGTTTTTAACCTATTAGCAAATCTTTGTTAAATGTAGATTTAACTTTTCCTTTCCCCTTGTTTTCCTCTTCTTTTCCCCTCATTTTCCTTTATCCTGTAAACATGAGACCCTTCCTCACACATTCTTTACCATGAATGCAGGTCTTTCTTTACAGTTAGGGGTGCCCCCATTATGTGCTATGGTGACTGTGAGGCAGTTTGGTTTGACTTTGTGCTTGCACTCACTGCTGTTTTAGAGTAAATCCAGTCCAGTTTGGGCCACTTCTAAACACTGCATTTATTTTTTTTTTTCTGTTGTGACCAAATCAGGAGTTTCTGCCTCCATGCATTGCTTTGGTGCTGCAGCAGCCCTGCGCCTTGGCCACTCTCCATGTTCCTGATGCCCTTGCTGTTGGGTAGGAGAGGCTGATATCCTTATCTGGGCCCCTAAATTTAGCCTGGCAGCTCTCAAAACATGCAGAGCCCACACTCCAAATAGCAGGCGAGCGTGCCGAAGACATTCAGCTCGTGCCCTTGAAGCCAATGGCTTGGGCAGGAGGGCTGCTGCGTTCCTGGTGCCCAGCTCTGCCACGAGGGCCTGAGCTGAAATCAGATCTCTGTGGCTGTGCTGCCAGGTTGGCAGAGGCAGAAAGGTGTCAGATCTTGTGCCAGCTGCAATTTGCCCGAGGACTTAATGCACCAGATCGACAGGTCAGAGCGAACTGCATTCAGACAGGTCCTAAAGGAAGCAGAGCAATAGAAATTGACGCTGGGTGGCTCCAGCGATGTGCTGCACCTTGGGCAACGCGTGGCTCTCCTCGAGAGCTTATCCCTCAGTGCTCGGCTTTAACTCAGCCTCAGATGCTCCCTGTGCTTGCCTCAGATGTCCTCGCAGCACTGGCTGTGCAGCACACATCCTGCCTGGTTACTCCCCTGTGTATCCCGGTCACAGTTTCCCCCTGCAGTTCACACCTGGGCCACGTGGATGCGTTTTGCTGATCGCACGTGGTTGTGGCAGGTGCTGTTGGGGGGTTGTGCCACTGGGTGTCAGGGTGGGGGCTCAGGGATGGGGCTGGAAACTGCTTTGTTGGAGGGGTTTGCTTTGGGGCAAAGACTGGGACGTCTGCAGAAGCACTTTGGTCTGCTGCATTTGGCGAGTCTGCCATTCATCACAGCTACAGTGATGTTAATGCACTACCAATCTCCCATGCACACTGAGTTTGTCACCGTATAGTTCAAATAGGACTTTATAGGGTCGTTGTGCATCAGTCGTCGATGCTCACCTGATCTACAGCCCCGTCTGAAGCCCGAGGCGCTGTTGCAGAAGTGGCAGCACACGGCTCAGCCCCGTGGACTGGGGGGCAACGTGTGGGACAGGAGGCAGAGAAGCAGGACGTGGATTTACCGAGTTGGCTGCGGCACCGCCGGCGCGGCGCTTTAACTGTCTAATCCCGTGAGCTGCCTTAGGAGCAGCTATTTTGATTGTGCCACAAACCTCTTTGCTTTAAGCTCATAAAGCCGTGACTGGATAATGGCAGAGAGGCGGCGAGGGACGGGGATGCAGAGGGACGGGGCTGCGGTGTGCCAGCAGCACGAGGTGAGCCCAGCACTGCGGGACAGACGTGATCCTCAGCTCGGGCTGAGCCTTGTTGTTATGCTGGCTGTGCTGTGGGGACACACAGCATGCTCCACGATGGAGCCTGGCCTCGGGGTGCTGCAGGCTGTGAGCCTCAGCCCCAATTTGCCTCCAAATTCCCATTGGTGCCAGCGAGGTGCTGGGTCACTCCGCCTCACCAGAGGCCAAAGGGTTTGGTTAAAGCCCAAATCAAATCATTCTCCAAGGCTTTTTTGCTTCTTCTTTTTTTTTTTTTTAACTGGACTCTGTTCTTTTTTTCCCTCAAGGAAAAAGTACTTTGCTCTTGGTTCAAAGCCTGAGAAGTTCTGTGTGGATTCTGTCTGGATTCTCATCCTTGCGTTCACAGCTCTGGGAGGATCTGTGTGTTTGTTGTGGCTGTCAGGCAGCACTGCTTTGTTTTCCAGCCCCTCCTGCAGTTTGTAACTGTTTGCTTTTAGCTCCTACTTTCTATGCGTGCCCCTATCCTTGCCCCGCTGCCTTTGGCATTGAGCAAACAGAGGGATTTTCTCCCCCTTCCCTGCCTGTCAAGGATGATTTTTCCACTGCTTTGTAGCACGGTCAGAATCTTTAAGCTGCAGTTTTCTGCAAAGTTTAACATCAGTGACATAGCAAGAATCTGTAGTGCTCAGAACTAACCCTGGGAAGGTTTCAAATAGGTGAAGGCTCTCTAAGGATGCTGGCAGCACTCAGATCTCTGTTTCTACCACTCCCACCGAGGTGCTGTGTCTGCCTATGCAGTGGCTTTTCATTTGTGGCATGGGGAGCAAACACTGCTCTCCACAATCAGGTGTCAGGCTCAGGAAGGATCCCAGCCAAAGCAGAGCATTGGTTTTAGCTGTGCTGTGCCCAAAGCCTGTTAGATATCTGTGGGGATGGACAGGTTTTTCAGCAGCTCTGGGTACACGTGGACATGGCAGAGCCCTGAATCTATGCCATCAAACTCGGATAACCCCGGAAGGAGCATCCCCACCTCCAGCTTTGGGAACGTGGCTTGTGAGCCAACTCCTCCCCACACAGTGACCCATTTTTGGAAGGCAGCAGCTGCTGGAGTCAGGCAACTCCAACACTCTGCCCTGAGCTGCTGGACCAGGGGAAGGAGCTCTATGGATAGGGTTGGTTTACTGGCCACAGCCATTCATGAAGGAGACAGAGGCTCCTGCAGAGCACAAACAAAACTCATCTGAAAACCTGTCCATGAAATGAATGCAGCTAGAGAGCACTGGTACCATATAAAATATTTATTGATTTTGCAAAACATTGTAAAACGCATCTGTAGTAAAAATAAGAAACCATGCCGTGCATCTTGCACATTTTTATACCAACAAAAGGTATTTTTTCCTACTGCTGCACAGCAGCAAATAAAACCGTTCCTTTCTTTCAAGTCCTGCACTTTGCAGTCTCCTCATTCAGCCAAACCATCGCCCTTCTCACTGGGACCACCATCACTGGGACCACCATCTCCAGGGACATTGGGGCAGCAGAGCCGTGTGCTCGGGTGAGCAGTGGGTCCCTTAGGATGCATGCTGCCTGGTCACCATCCCCCTCTGCACCGCTGATGATTTCTTGCTCTGCTCCAACACCAAATCCTCCTGTTTCCGAGGAAGCGCGGGCTCTTGAGATGGGGTCGGTCTCTTCTCCTCCTCCTCCTCCTCTATCCTCCCTTCGGAGGTGAAAGGGCTGCACACTGCCTCCACCAGACCGATGACCACACCGAAGAACGCCAGCACGCTGCCCAGCACGTACAGCTTCACCATCTTCCTGTTGGGCTTCTGGCTGAGCATCTCTTTAGCGAAGGGGATCAGCTCGTGCATGGTCTCCATCTCCGCACAGCAGCGTAGGAAGAGCTCCGTTCTGCAAGAGGAGAGCAAGAGAGGGGCGTGTTAGTGTAGCTCAGCGCTCGCTCCGTAGCAGACACCGCGATTATGTTCAAATGGAGATTTCTGGCTTTTGCCAGAGGCTGCCTTAAGGATCGGGGTCGGGATGAGGATCGGAGTCGGGATGAGGGTCGGAGTCGGGATGAGGGTCGGGATGAGGATGAGGATGAGGATCAGGCCCGCACCCCGCGCTGTCCCAGCACCGTTCCCGTCTCTCCCCTTACCTGAGGCCGCCCTGCGGTTGCGGTGCTCAGCTCTCCGCACTGCGCTGCCCGCAGCTCCGCCCGGCTCTGCCCGCTGCCCGCTGCAGCCGCCTTATATCGGCACCGAGGGCGGGCGGTGCCGGGGGGGGGGCGGGC